CGTCAAATGCATAAAGATGTTCATCTCAAAATAGCTTTAATAAAGATGTCAAGTGAACTTATTGGTAGCTGGAGATTTGATCCATTTTCATTGTAAGTTAAACGGGGTAAAAGAAACTCTTCCAAAGTTGTCTTTAAAATACCCCATTATGTTCTGCTCTCCTATAGTCCACTGATGAAGCATAAATTCCTCCTAAAACCCACCCCAAAATTCTTAGAATCATCAACAATTGTCGCAATAAAGTAAAAATCTTGCACCTTTTTAACCACTAAATTCACCCCATCCTAACACATAAGAACTAAACCACCACCTATACCAACTGGATCAACACAAATCATATGATCAAAATCCATTTGTCTCCTTATCCTTTCCAAAACCTTATTTTATTTTATTTTATTTTTATCTCCAAAAGGAATTTGTAGCGTACTTTGCTGAATGGCAATTGGTTTGGCAATTGATTGAGGTTTAGTTTGCTCTTATTTAATCTGCAGAAACACAACAAGATTGTCTTGCTGATCTACAAAAACCCAGTTATTATTTTTCCCAATTTCTAATTCAAAAATATGTTTGGCAATGGAGAACCACGGCCTCTGATAACCACGGCCAGAATTAAGTATTTGGAATCAAAATACTGTTGAGGAGTCATTTACTATTAATCGCAGTGGCGAAGAAAGAAAGCAAGCAAGAAACCTTTGGGCGGAGGGCAAAGGAAAAAATAGCTGTAGAGGTCAAGATCTGAAAAACCATGGCCTTCTGATAATGGCGACCTCTGAAATTTGAAGAAAGAGAATGGACACAGACAGTTTACACAGTCGATTTGAAGAGAGATAAATAATAGAAAGAAAAAATAAACTAATTTTTTTGCTTACATCAGCAGGAGGGTATTTTGGGATTTTTATAAAAAAAATAGTCAAAATTAATGATTAATGGACAATTTGTTTAAAAGACAGAGGGATAACTTCACTTATCTACCCGGAGGTTAGGCTTAACTACAGGCGATCCTCTTTACATTTCAAAAATTACACCGACCTCCCTCCAGTCTGACCAACGTTAAGTTCCGATAGAAATCAATATGAAAATACTAATATACCCTCTATTATAATATTAATAAGATTTTTTTTTTGCCAAAAGACACTCTTACCCTTTACCTTTTATATTCAATCCTATTTTCACTCCATCTCTTATCTTCTTCCATTTGTGAACCATAATTACCGGACGGTTAGATTTCCAAAACCTTCTATATCTTATATATAGACACACACATACATATATATATGTATGTGTGTATGTATGTGTGTGTGTATGTATGTATGCATGTGTGTGTGTATATGTCCTTCATTTTCTTGCATTTTCTTGGCAACCAAACATAAATTCTTTCAATTTCATCAGTGCTATTGAGTTGAAGATCTGAAAATCATCAGTAAAATTACAAGTATAAAAAAAAATTAAAGCAAAACGAAATATTTAGCGCAGTAGATTGTATTTATGATTTTTCTTTTAATTTTTATGGTAATTTTGTGATATGTGTATATATACACATATACACGCTATATGTATATATACACATATACACGCTATATGTATGTATATATTTCGTGTTTCTCTTCTCTGGTTCTTCTTTTTCGCTTAACGGTGGATGATCGATCTCGACTGAAACGCAACCATCGGCAAGCGATCACCAATCGCTAATATTTTGGACTGCTTTTATTATGGGCAAAAACTAGGGTTTAGCTTTGCAATTTAGGCATTTGGGGCTTCCACGTAACAGAATACAAATAGCAGAGGTGGCGTACAAGAGCACGATGGAGGGGTCTGGCAACATTGTGATCTTTTTTTCTGGCGAGGGGGAACATGCCAGAGCCGACGACGGAGAATAAGTTAAGCTAGATTAGGTTCCACCAAGTAAGGTGTCGTTTTGTCTTGGTTTCACTCTTTTCGAAGTTCAACGAGCTCGGTGGAGTAGTCGAAGTGGCCGAAAATGCGGTTATTGAGGCGATGAATAAATCGATATGACGATTTGTAGTGGATGTATATATAGATCTAAACAGGGACCTGTATATATATATATACATATATATACATATGTACATAGGCTATATATGAATATAGAGTGTCGTGCAAAAAAATAAAGATTACATGAGTAATTTTCAGTTCAAAAGTAAGGGTGGAATGTTTTTACAACTATAGAGAGGGCAAATATGGTATTTTCAGACTCAAAAATGGCTGACATCATTGTTGACCGACGTTGACTGTCACCGGAAGGGGTAAAGTGTTACTACAGAGCTAACATTGAGGGAGGTTGGTGTAATTTTTGAAACGTAAAGAGTATCATCTGTAATTACGCCTAACCTCAGAGGAGGTAAGTGAAATTATCCCAAAGATGGATAATACAAAAAATTATATGTATTTTTTTTTTGTTAATTACAATGACACCCCATGAGGTTTGTCATAATTACAGTCATACAAGTTAAGCTTTTTTTGAACAATGACACCTCCTGTCAGAAATTAGATCCGAACAACCCTTTAAAAGAGGTGAAAAGTCAAGATTGCCCTTCAATATTTTATTAAATTAAAATGTAAAATATCAAAACTCTTAAATGACAGTTTTGCCCTTGTAACCAATAATACACCTCACCACACACTCTCTCTCCTTTCACCTCATCCAAGGTTGATCCGTTTTCGTTCCACCAAATCATGTCATTAGTTGTACGATCCATTAACAAGCTCATACATTTTTGGCAAGAACGACGTCGAAAGAGATCTCGGTGAATCACTGGTCATCACAGATCTTGATGCCTCGCTGGCCGTTGATTCTCCACCGGCCGCGGTGCTATCGTCATCGCACCTAACCAATTAAACACCATCAATACATATATGAGCCCTTTTGATCCCTCTATCGATAGGTCCAGGGGAATCCCATTGACCGAATCTACAACCGAACAAAGAAGTGTAACCCTCATTAGAACATTTGAAGCCATTGTCGCGGAGCCTTCGCCACGCTTATTCAAATCGTGAAGGTTGCATTAGTGTCGGTGCTGCCTCTGCCGCGGTCATCGTTGTCGTGCCTAGACAATCTTGAATGCGTATATATATATATATATTGGTTCAAAACCCAAATCAATATATATATATATATATATATATATACAAAATTATTGATTTGACATTCATACCCATTTTTAACAGGTTTGATATTTTATTTATTTATTATTATTATATAAATATTATATTAGGGTAAAAAAAGTAATTTCATATTTACATAGGTCAACACATAAGTCAAATGGCAAAAATATTATTTTATTATGTATCATATGTGGCATTGATCAATTAGGGTGTCTTTGTTAACTTTATCCAAATTAAGAATGTGTTATTGTTTAAAAAAGGTCCAACTTGTATATAACTGTCATTATAGCAAACTTCAAGGGATGTCATTATAATTAGCTCATTTTTTTTTTAATAAAGGAATTTCTTTTACATTTTTTATATTGTGAATGTTTTTTTTTTAGCCCTTTTATAAACCTTATCTATGACTATGACACTACTTTTAGTCACGTATACTAATTCCGTCTCAAAATAGTTATTCATCTTTTTATTTTGGGATGATCTAAAAAAAATATGTTCCATTTTAAATTTGAATATACTATTTTTTTTATAACATTTCCAAATTATTCTTTTAACTAAATAATTACACTAATTACGAAGAATTATTTTGTCTTTTAGTAAAAGATATATTTAAAAATTTACTCTTATTAATATAATAAAAAATTATTAAAATTTTATTATTATAAAAAGTTAAAATTTTCATATTAGACATGTATTGCGAGGCTGAGGGAGTGGCTGAAGAGAAAGTAACATGCTTGGTACAACCCACTTGCTAGAGATTATATGTCTGCTTTAACCGTTTCCAAGATGCAAACCACGAAACATTTTGTACGAAACAACCCGTCTTTGTCTACAAGCTCAGAAAAAGAAAGAAAGATAAAGGCAATTAATGTTTTTGTCAGCCAAAAAGGACAAACTAAATGAAAGCGGTAGTACAAAGAAAGTGTGGTCTGTTTGAAGATTAAAAATTTGGACAAGGTGTCTAGTAGCCTAAAAAATAAAAATTTTGTTCAAAATTGAAAAAAAAATAAAATTCAAATATGAAATATGTTTAGAGCATCCTGAAAATTGAAATTGAATGAAATTATATTCAAATTTGAATTTTATTTTTTTTTCAATTTTGAACAAAATTTTTATTTTTTAGGCTACTAGACACCTTGTCCAAATTTTTAATCTTCAAACAGACCACACTTTCTTTGTACTACCGCTTTCATTTAGTTTGTCCTTTTTGGCTGACAAAAACATTAATTGCTTTTATCTTTCATTCTTTTTCTGAGCTTGTAGACAAAGACATATATATATATATTTTTAATTATTGTGAAATTCAACTGATCAATTCAAAGTCTTAAACTAATTAATCATTTTGATGATCGATTTTTACCTAATCTTTAACCTGTATTGAATAATATATATATCTATATATATATATATATATATATATATATAAGTTTTATTTTTTTCAAAACTACTCTTAAGAAATTGAGCTAAAAGAAATTAATGAATTATAATTTGAAAACTGTTTTTTGAATTGAATAAAAAAAAGGTCTTAAAACTTGATCATTCCTATTCTTAATCATTGGAATAATAATGACACAGTTACAATTCACATTATGGTGAATTCTTAGCTATCCTAAAAATTCGAGGAGCACATTGTAAATTCACGATAGGAAAAATGCTATAACGAGGACGTGTTCATGCTGAACTCGCGTGGGGCCTAGTGAGATTTAGTGAGAGCGCGAGCTTATATGAATGACCGTACCGCCCAACAGTTACACGTGTCAGTTATAAGAAGCGGGTTTAATCACCTACATTAGCGTATAGTATAATACTGCAAACGAACCCCTTTAAACCCCGCCATTTTGTCATTCCCGGTACATTCAATGTGGCAATGTGCCCCCCTCTCTCTCTCTCTAGCTCTTCTCCTGCACAAACTGCAACGCACACCACTGACCACACCAACAACTGACAAACGGAACTAGAGAGAGAGAAAAGAGAGTATAGAGAGAGAAAAGAGAACCATTAAATGCAAAGCTCAACCACCACTGTAAGGACGCTAAGTAGTTGTATATATTCAAGTCAATAAACTCCCAACTACAATTGCAGCCTCAAGAGTCTTCTCATCTTCATTATCTATCTTCCTTATACCACTCAAATCAAATCAGAGATTTCTAGGATTTGAGCTTCTTCTTCTCCATAATGTGGAACTCTGCCGAGAACCTCTCCGCGAGGTCGGCGTCGTTCAGAGAAGACGGCGACGACGAGGAGGCTCTCCGGTGGGCCGCACTCGAGAGACTGCCGACTTACGCTCGAGTCCGGAAGGGCATTTTCAAGAACATTGTTGGAGATAAGAAAGAGATCGATGTTGATAAACTCGAAGTTCAGGATCTAAAGGTCGTGCTGGATCGGCTCGTCAACTCCATCGATGATGATGTGGAGAGGTTCTTTGAACGGATGCGAAGGCGATTCCAAGCGTAAATTTCTCATTCTATATGATAATTTATGTTCTGACTGGTTACTAGTACTGTTTTTGTTGTTTGTTTGATTAGTTTGTTTATGTTTGATTACTTTGCTGAAAGCATATAATTAATGCTTATTTATATAATTGATCATGCAAATTTTGTGCTATATTTATACAGATGATCTCAAAAATCGAAATTTATGTTATTTTATTTTGTTTTGATTGTGAATTATTTGCTTGTTCTTTAATTCCCAAATTCTGTTAAATTTGCTCATGAAATTGATTGAATTCTTCATACCTGTCTAATGTCTATGCAATTTTTTCCCCTGTTATGTACTTAAAGTAACTGAATTGTATCATTTGGCATTCATAGAGTTCAGTTTTTTTAACTTCCCACCTATATGGCATTGCAGAGTAGATCTGGAATTCCCCAAGATTGAGGTTAGATTTCAGAATCTGAAAGTTGAGGCATTTGTTCATGTTGGAAGCAGAGCATTGCCAACTATTTCCAATTTCATATTCAACATGACTGAGGTAGGATTTACAAAATTAATCACTGGCACAAGTGTCACCATCAATAATTAATTGTTTCCTTACTAAGTTTCTTTTTTTTTTTTCCTTTTCAATGTCCTCAAGGCTTTATTAAGGCAATTGCGGATATACCGGGGGGAGAGAAAGAAGTTGTCAATTTTAGATGATGTTAGCGGGGTAATCAGACCTTCCAGGTATACATTGAGTTTATATGCAAACCCAGCTGATGATTTTTCAGTCATGTATTTGATGAGGTGTAACTTTTATTCTAGATTGACACTGCTCTTGGGTCCTCCTAGCTCTGGAAAGACAACATTGCTGTTGGCCCTCGCTGGACGCCTTGGACATGATTTGCAAGTATGAAAATTCAATTTCTCTTGAACAGAAATTGACATGGTCACATTATACTTTATTATAATCGTCATGCAGTGCATCAGAATAAAGAAAGTACTCGTCCATAAATTTATAAATTCTTAACCAGTTTCCAGGATGTGCTGAGGCTTTTGATATTCATAATAAAAAATGCAAAATGGTTTTACAGATTCTTTTGAAGCTATCATGCCATGTACGGGTTTTAATTGACCTCCTTGACTTCCTCTGGTCATTTGGTTTTATTTTTAAGTACTACATTATTGTTAAATGACTTCACGCTATATAAGGATCACTGAGAGAAGAGTTCTCCTTTCCCTCTTTACTTTTCATTCTTCCTTCTTCTGTTGATGGGACCTATCTGGTCTACTTAAAACAAATAACTGAGTTCAGATGATAGTTGCTCATGCATATCATTGGTTGGATTCTTCTTATTTTGCTCATTTTCCTTCGATACCTTGATTGCTTTGAAGACGTCAGGGAAGATTACTTACAATGGACACAGTTTAAATGAGTTTGTTCCTCAGAGGACATCTGCTTATGTCAGTCAACAAGATTGGCATGTGGCAGAGATGACTGTAAGGGAAACTATCGACTTCTCGGCCCGTTGTCAGGGTGTTGGATATAAATATGGTAAGCTTTTGAGGATCACATTGTTGAGTGTGTGTGGAAGTCTCCTAAGTGCTGAACCATGTATATTTGCAACAGATATGCTTTTGGAACTTTTAAGAAGAGAAAAGATTGCTGGAAAAAAACCTGACGAAGATCTTGATATATTTATGAAGGTACATGTTTATCTTTAATCCATAATATATAATATTGATGCTTTATATTTAACTTAATTCTTTACTGATAGAATCTCATCTTTCTCAGGCATTAGCTTTAGGGGGCCAGGAGACAAGCCTTGTGGTGGAGTACATTTTGAAGGTAATTTCTAGACGCTAGTTACTTGGTACGCATATATGGAGCAGTATTTTTCATGCAATCCTGGTTTTAATTATTCTGAAATTACCATTTGGGTAATATATTTGAGAACAAATGAAGTTCTTGAATTTTACAATCTTGGTTGTAAGTCCTACTATACTAGAGAGTATGGTTTCATGTAGAATTCAATATTTATCAAGTCACTCCAACACTTCTCTTTAAGATTCACCTGAAATACTAAAATTCATCTGACAAAGATTTTAGGTTTGGACATTTGTGCTGACACGCTCGTGGGGGATGAGATGCTAAAGGGAATCTCTGGTGGGCAAAAGAAGCGGCTTACTACAGGTATATGCCCTGTGATCTTATGTTTCTTGGATACTAGAAAGATAATGTGTTTGTTTGTGTTAACATGGCTTGCATGCTTGGCAGGTGAACTATTAGTAGGTCCATCTAGAGTTCTATTCATGGATGAAATATCAACTGGGCTTGATAGTTCAACTACTTATCAGATCATCAAGTATCTTAGGCATTCAACCCGTGCACTTGATGCAACTACAGTCATTTCCCTGCTTCAACCTGCTCCAGAGACTTATGAGTTGTTTGATGATATTATACTCTTGTGTGAGGGCCATATTGTTTACCAGGGACCTCGCGATGCGGCTCTTGATTTCTTTGCATTTATGGGATTTAATTGTCCACAGCGGAAGAATGTGGCAGACTTCCTGCAAGAAGTGAGTAATGGTGATCTTGGGATGTTAATTGCTACTCCCATGTTTTACATCACTTCATTCAAATTTTTTTCTTGCACAGATTATGTCAAAGAAGGACCAGGAACAGTATTGGGCTGTTCCTGACCGCCCTTACCGATACATACCTGTGGTGAGCTTTGCTGAAGCTTTTTGTTCATATCAAGCTGGGAAGAATTTGTCTGAGGAACTGGATATTCCATTTGATAGACGTTATAATCATCCGGCAGCCTTGTCAACTTCTCAGTATGGTGTTAAGAAGAGTGAGCTTCTCAAGACTAGCTTTAATTGGCAGTTGCTACTGATGAAACGGAATTCCTTTATCTATGTTTTCAAATTCATTCAGGTGATGTTGTCAGTGTTTTATTTTCTGAAATTCTTTCATGATATATCAAATGAATCAAACTTAACTTCTTCGACATCAAACCAAGTTTTCTTTAATCACTATATATTGATATGCCAAACCTTTTCATTTGGTTTGCCAGTATGGTAGCGTGCCAGCAATCTGAAATAAAACATTTTCATGGTTACCTATGCTGATTATATGTATTATTTTCTGTTTTCCAGCTCGTCATTGTTTCTTTGATCACGATGAGTGTTTTTTTCCGAACAACACTGCGTCATAATACAATTGATGATGGAGGTCTTTATCTCGGGTCACTGTACTTTGCCATGGTTATTATTCTTTTCAATGGCTTTACAGAGGTTTCAATGTTGGTGGCGAAGCTTCCGGTGATTTACAAGCACAGAGACTTGCATTTCTACCCATGCTGGGTTTATACACTTCCTTCTTGGGCATTAAGTATTCCAACTTCGCTCATAGAGTCTGGTATCTGGGTAGCTCTTACATATTATGTGATTGGATATGATCCAAATATTATCAGGTAAGGCTCATATCCAGATGGAGTTTTCCCTTAGTTATGATGGTTGACATAATGGATTCTGCAATTTTAATGTTTTAATCTGCAGATTCTTTCGGCAGTTTCTGTTATTTTTCTTTCTTCACCAAATGTCTCTAGCTCTTTTCCGTCTGATGGGTTCCTTGGGTCGAAATATGATAGTCGCTAATACCTTTGGATCTTTTGCCATGTTGGTTGTCATGGGGCTTGGAGGATATGTCGTTTCAAGAGGCAAGCTAACGCATCTCTCATTTTCTCTATGTATAACTCCGAAATTATATGCTTATACATTTGCCTTCTCATTTTGACAGCTAGTATCCCAAAGTGGTGGATCTGGGGTTTCTGGGTTTCTCCTTTAATGTATGCTCAAAATGCAGCTTCTGTGAATGAATTTCTTGGGCATTCTTGGAATAAGGTAAATTTGTTTGTCTGATTGGCCATTCAGTTTCAGCACCTATTTGTCACAAATTTTTATGTACCTTTTCTTTGGGCCTAGCATAGTAATGACTCGACTCAGTATTTTGAGGTAGAACTACTATATCTGCCAAAGAGTCAAATATTGCTTGTGAGAGATAAAAAGTCTTCTACAGTGTAAGTTTGTAATGGATTCATTCTTCTTTCTATCATATGAATTCGTTTAATAAAAAGTTGAGGCATAATACTGCACACTTTATTTTAGGCAATTATTTTATCAGCAACTACAAGGTGCATGATTGAAGTGTTCACCGATGTTGATATGTATTGCCTGATATATATTAGTGGAAAAAAGTTTTGATCTAGATTAAACAATTGTTGTTAACTGATATTGATATGCATTGCCTGATATATATTAGTGGAAACAAGGGTTGATCTAGAGTTAACAAGTGTTGCTCAATGTAAATGAAAAACCAATCCCTATAAATGGTTCATTCATGTAGTGTGTGCTGTTTATATGAAGTGCAATCCAAATTGCAAATCTTGAATTCTCGTTGGGAAATGAATTGTCAATTTGTTACATAATATATCATTTGCACTTTGGGGTTTATTATATAATATATACACAGGGAAATTGAAGAAAGTTGGAACGTGTTGAGTAAAAATGGGATAATAGTCATAATCCTTACAATTTGGAATTCTGAAACCTATTTATATTTCATAAAACCTAGAAAACGAGTAGAGGCCTTACAAAGATAATCTTATCTACATTAACAACCTATAAAGATTCAAATAACAGTCACAAGCCTATAAAACAAATGCTCCTAAAACTGTAAAAATTGCTATGTATACAGTATTAGTATGCCTATAAATCCTAAGCATAAGGAACATCTATAAATGTCTGAAATTCAGCCACAGTTTGGGTAGTTTGTTCTACAACATATGTCCAGCCACATAATTGTTGGTATATAGTGATGACTATTGATTTCAAGCTTACTACTTTTCTTTTTCTTTGACAAAAGAATTTCTTTATTTTTTACAGAAGGTTTGTTCTTGTTGTGTTTAGGAATTAGGTACATACTAAATTTTACATAGAATTAAATCAGTAGAACATGGAGAAGGTGCCTTAATATCTTTCTTGACAGTAATAATGCTTGACCACAAATATACACTACCACTCTTTCAGTAATTACAGTATATTGAACTTTGATTTTGGATGGTGGCTATCAGGGAACATAACAACCCTGATTGAGACTTGGCCCAAGAAAACATGGTTCATGTCAAGCTATAAATAGGGTATAAAGTGTTGAGGTTGTGGAGCCTGAATCACAAGACCGGTTTATACCCTTGGATGCCCTTTGTATTTAAGTCCCCTTATTTTTCTGTGTTTTGGGTTGTGTGGTTTTGAGATTGAAAGACTGGAAGGAGAAGGAAGGAAGTGCTGCAAGGACTGATTTAATCATTACCTCCCTCCCTGCCTTTGATAATAATTCACCCCTTCAACATTTTCATTTTTGCAGCAACTTTATCTGATAGATAGCTAAAAGAGACTTGCTTTTATCTTCCAATAATAGCCCGAAGACCATTTTATTTTTTTAAAATCCAACCAGCCTCATCAATATAGTACCCCGAAAGTTGGAAATACCGAATTGTGAGGTTTTCTGTGTGAGAGCTCTGTGGACGTAGGCAAGACAATTTTGCCTAACCATGTAAATCGTGTGTTTTCTTGTGTGATTGTTTTTTCCTTCTTTCTAGCTTTTTCTAGTGTCTGCATGCTCTCTGTGTTTTTCCGTACGAGTGCAGTTCTAAGGCAAGGTTTCTGCTTGGAAGCTCATGTGCTAAGTTGTATTTAAGTTGCTTGTGTATAGTGGCTGAATTATGTGTATTCCACCTTAATCGGCAATCACCGCAATGATTCACCTTTGAAATGAAACCACAATCTTTTCCCTTATGTAGTTTAACTTTTCCCTCAAACTGAACATAAGATGGTTCACAGAAAACGACTTCTGTTTCATGGCTCTTCATGCGCATGCCTTTGATGTATGCCTTTGATATAAGTGGTCCAGTGACTCCCCAAGCCGGGATCAGGCCCGGGATTGGAATCCGTTTGAGTAACCTTGCACAGCACCACTGAAATTTATAGTAGTCTTAACAGAGGTTCTGTTTTACCATTCTTTCTTCCAAGTGGACTCATAAATTCTTTGTTCACTTGTTTGTTCATGCAGAGAGCTGGAAATAACACTAACTTGTCATTAGGTGAGGCATTAATGAAGGAGCGCAGTTTGTTTCCACAGAGTTATTGGTATTGGATTGGCCTAGGTGCTTTGCTTGGATATACAGTTTTATTCAACATCCTTTTCACATTCTGCCTAACTTATCTCAATCGTAAGCCATCTCTGTCTTCAAAAAATATCGTGAACCTTAACTTCTTTTCTGTCATAAATAAATAAATAGATGTATGAATGTATAGCCCATCAATTTTTTTAGTAGAAGGGGAGAAAGAAGCAATGAATAGTGTAGATGTATGAATGTATAGCCCATCATTTTTTTTAGTAGAAGGGGAGAAAGAAGTAATGAATAGTGTTCTTTTCTTTCATTTTCTTTTATGTAAATTTGATATAGCACTGGGAAAGCACCAAGCTGTTGTTTGTAAGGAAGATCTCCAAGAGAGAGACGGTAGAAAAAAAGGTGAAACCGTTGTTATTCAGCTAAGAGAGTTCTTGCAGCATTCAGCATCAGTAACAGGTTTGTAGTGATTTATCCTTATATGGATTCTCTCTCTCTACACACACATCTATTTATCTATCTAACTTTGATAAAATTACATCTGAAAGCCTACTTTTCTACTTTATTTATTGGGCAGCAAAAATGTTTAAGCAGAGAGGCATGGTTCTTCCATTTCAACCACTTTCCATGTCTTTCAGCAATATCAATTACTACGTGGATGTGCCATTGGTGTGTATATTGCTCCCTTTAATATTTTTTTATGAATTGTTTAGAATGAAGATTTCTAATCAAATTATTATATCAGGAATTGAAGCAGCAAGGAATATTAGAAGACAGATTGCAGTTGTTAGTTAACATTACTGGAGCATTCAGGCCTGGTGTGCTTACTGCATTGGTTGGAGTAAGTGGTGCTGGAAAAACCACCCTCATGGATGTGTTAGCTGGTAGAAAAACTGGTGGAGTAATAGAAGGAAGCATACATGTATCTGGTTACCCTAAAAACCAAGAAACTTTTGCCAGAATATCTGGATACTGTGAACAGAATGATATTCATTCCCCTTGCTTGACTGTTCTTGAATCACTTCTGTTCTCTGCTTGGCTCCGGTTACCACAAGATGTTGACCTAGAAACACAGAAGGTAATAATAAACCATGTGTTTTGCTGTTGTCCATGTTTGAGTATGCAATGACTTATGGAGGGTTAAATTTTCAGGCTTTTGTTGAGGAGGTGATGGAACTTGTGGAGCTCACTCCACTAAGTGGTGCACTAGTTGGTCTACCTGGTGTTGATGGTTTGTCAACAGAGCAAAGAAAACGGTTGACTATTGCTGTTGAACTTGTTGCCAACCCTTCAATAGTTTTCATGGATGAACCCACATCAGGATTGGATGCAAGGGCTGCAGCCATTGTGATGAGGACTGTGAGGAATATTGTAAATACTGGGAGAACAATTGTCTGCACAATCCATCAGCCCAGCATCGACATTTTTGAATCGTTCGATGAGGTCTTTCTCTCCGTCATTTGATAGGGAACTTCACACTTTAATGAAAACTATCTTCTGCATTCTCCATGCATGTGTATGGCAAGGTTAATATTTTCCTAATTTGTGGGCTGAATCATGCATACTGGCAATGATTCATTGAGAATCATGACAAGTTCCATCAAATGCCCCTTTCCTCATGCATATGGTGTTGCAGCTCTTGGCCAGTCCCTGCATGTTAGATTTGAAGACTCATCAACATTTATATTCCTATAGCTACAAGTGTCTCTGAGCAAAAGCATTTGTCCACTGCCAGATGTGTTGCCAGGACACAAGATGGGATAGGTCTGGCATGATATAGACATGCTAGCATGGAATTTTTTTTGAAAAACAATGACAAGACATGAAATAGACACATCAAGGTTATGGAATTATATTTGTGAATATTATATGCATAATACTTGTATCATTTTTACATTTGTCCTTTGGTGATTATACATACTTCCATTTTTGGTGCAAGTTGGTAAAATTTCTAAATACTCTTATAGTCTCTTTCCTTCTCTTGTTTCTCTCAATATAGTCTTTATCCAGTTAAAAAGAATTATGCCTATATAGAACATTATTCATTTGCTGACATCATATTGAATTAATTTCATGCCCAGTGTGAGTTGAATAACTGTTGGTTTGTACATCTGTTTGAATGGAGCACAGTATGGCCGCTCTTTAAAGTGTCCATGCTACTTTTTTGGCCATTGTACTGCTCCATAAATACCATTTTGCTTTGCTGATTGCCCAAATACTCTACCAAGTTTACATGCTGGGATCAAATTCAAGCAAGGTATTTTGGAATAGATTTTGTGGATTGAGAACATTGACCCCCGTCTCTGTATGACTGTGTTGGGCAGTATACATGTGCAAGAAATATGTACATTTAATTGCTGCATTGGAATTTCACATAGCTGTGTCCATGGATGCATTTGTACTTCAATTAATTTTCAAGAAAATAATGGGTTGAAATACTCATTTTCTGTCTATAATGATATGCAGACAGTAACATCAGGGAGTCTAGAGATAGCTAAATCTTGCTTTCTTTTCTAAGTTTTACCATGATCTCTTCATTCCTTATTCTCTAATATTATCCGACATTGCAGCTCTTATTTATGAAGCGCGGAGGAGAGGTCATTTATGCAGGTCTATTGGGCCCCAAGTCTTGCAATCTCGTTGAGTATTTTGAGGTAAAAACTTTGCTTGTTTAGTACTTCCAGCATGTGAGTTTTATAGCTGATTGATGGTTGAATTGCTTGAGTTCTCTTGATACAGTAGCACTTTTGTTTTATAGGCAGTAGAAGGAGTGCCAAAAATCAGATCTGGATACAATCCTGCTGCATGGATGTTAGATGTTACTTCATCAGCAGAAGAAAACCGTCTTGGTGTTGATTTTGCAGAAATATACCGAAGATCAAATCTCTCTCGGTATGCAATTTTCACGGGATTCTGATTGTTGATTTTTCCTTTATATTCTTTACTTAATCTGTCTGTTATTTTTAATGTTTCAGGCGTAACAGACAGTTGGTTGAACGTTTAAGCAAACCAAGCATTGACTCAAAAGATTTGAACTTTCCAACCAAGTACTCTCAGTCATTTTTTGATCAGTTTCTGGCCTGTCTTTGGAAACAAAATCTGTCTTATTGGCGCAACCCGCAATATACTGCAGTTCGTTTCTTCTACACTGTCATCATCTCATTGATGCTTGGAACAATATGTTGGAGATTTGGTTCTAAAAGGTTTCTATGTGATCCTTTTCTCAATTTTCTGTTGTCTTTGTGACTCCATTAATGACTAATCTTTGTTGAGAAGGTCATGTTTGTGACATTAGATAGGTTAAGACACTTGGTAAATGTTTAGAATGACACTATGGATTGAGTGGTATCTAAATCCTTTCAGAAAAATAAAATAAAAAAATGATGAAAACTTTTATAGGCTCTGAAAGATGAGAAGAGACGTGGTGGTTTGTGACTTAAAGGTAGATTCTATGCTAGATGGAGCAAAATATCAAATTAGGAGTTGTGGATGACTTCATATAAATGAAACAAGGCTTTCTCGAGTTGAACTTGAGAAGGATGGTATTTGCACTTGCTTTTGCCTTTTTAGGTTATGATTTTGAGTGAGGAATGACGGACAATCGTCAAGCTCACTGTAGGTACAAGAAGTGCAATTATTCTGCAATCTTATTTGTGATAAATCATTTCAGTGTAGTTGATTTTTGTTTTATTATTCTTTCTTCTTTGCTAAACTTCCGCACTTGCAGTCTAGATGTTCATATGGTTTGATTCTCATGATGATTTCATTTCTTCCAATGGTTTAGGGAGACCCAGCAGGACATATTTAATGCCATGGGATCCATGTATGTGGCAGTCCTATTCATTGGAGTTACCAATGGCACCGCTGTTCAGCCTGTTGTTTCTGTTGAAAGATTCGTTTCATACAGAGAGAGAGCTGCAGGGATGTATTCAGCTTTGCCATTTGCATTTGCTCAAGTGCGCCTTCAGACATTATTTTCCATCATGATACTAGTTTAGTTTGCTAGAAACCTCTAGATATTTAATATGCTTTCATAGCTCTGTCTTCTGCATGCAGGTTGCTATCGAGTTTCCTTACGTATTTGGACAGTCACTTATATACTGCTCCATATTTTACTCCATGGCGTCATTTGAGTGGACCGTGCTGAAATTTATTTGGTACATATTCTTTATGTATTTCACTATGCTATACTTCACCTTTTATGGAATGATGACAACCGCCATTACGCCCAATCATAATGTGGCTGCCGTTATTGCTGCTCCCTTTTATATGCTTTGGAACCTCTTCAGTGGATTCATGATCCCTCACAAGGTAAAATTTTCACTTGATATAATTGGATATATCTCTTTGATAATGAAACAGCATGTCATCTTCTGTTTTTTGTCATTAAAATTTTAAAATGCACACTACTAAATATAGTGTACTATTAGAACAAACATTGTTAGATAGGTGGCTAATCCAAGGTCATATATTAGACATGTATAACCCACTCAGGCAATAATTAATTCTTACTATTAACTGGTTGATGTGTGGTGCAAATGCTTGCACTTTTTTCTTTTCATTCTGTTGTTCCAGTTTGTATAGCAGTAAATAACTTTTTACTGCTTTTTCAGAGGATCCCCATATGGTGGAGATGGTATTACTGGGCAAATCCCGTAGCTTGGAGTCTTTATGGCCTCCTGGCTTCGCAATATGGTGATGTGGATGAAGTTGTGAAGTTATCAGATGGAGTTCAAACAGTAGCAATAAGGGTTTTGGTGAGGAATGTATTTGGGTTCAGGCATGATTTCCTTGGTATCTGTGGTATCATGGTGGTTGGTTTTTGCATGATGTTTGGGGTGATTTTTGCTTATGCAATAAAATCCTTTAACTTCCAAAAAAGATGATAGGAGGATGCAGTGTGGTGGTGCTAAGACTATGATTTGTGTTCAGGGTGGGGTTTGTTCCATGACAGGTATAAGACTATTATTAAATCAGGTTCTCATTAGAGAATTTTGAATTGTTAAATATGTAGGGAGCCAAATTGATTTTTTTTATATCTACACAAAGATGATAGCTTGCTGTAATCTTAATTTTGTGCAAAAACAATAATGATCGATGTTGCATTTTCAATAACTAAGTGTTGAATATTGTAAAGTCATATTTATAATAATTAAGCATACTATAGTTGAGTTTTTTTTAGTAATTTCGTTTTGTTCTTCTGACTCTGAAAACATTTCTTTATTAATTATACACTTTTACGTTACTCTTCTTCTTGTTGTTTTAAGTAAAGAGAAATGGTTGTAATTAAATAGTGACAATGCCATTCAATAAATAATATATAAGTTTGTTTTCATGCACCCTTGAAGAGAACAAAAGAAAAGAAGTAAGTTTAAAATGGTAAGAATTGATGAGAAACATAATTAGAGAAATAGTAGTAGTATCACATTGCAAGGAATGAGTATCTAGTAAAAGAGAATCTATTCCTGAGTAAAGGGAGGGACATCTGTTTTTGTTGCTACAATCTTCCCTTTGAAGTGACTAGTAGTACACTACATGCATCACTCTCTCTTGTCTTCCAGTAAACGCCAACCTTCACTGTTATGATGATACAAGTTGACTAATGCCTAATCATCAGGTTTGATACATTTTAGTAGCTAGCATGGCGATTATAAAGCTATCTTTTTGGCAGACTGCTGGGACATTTGCTAGCATTATTCGTGTCCATTTATTTTTTAGTTTGGTTAGTGATCCGAGTGAGGGACAGGGACCCTTCAGTTCCACCACAAAGGGACCATTTTTCTTCTTTTTCAATCTTCTCATCTAAGCTCTGCAACTCACTTTTGGACTTCTTTTCATGCTATAGTGCTATTCACACACATATTATGCTTTTTATGTATACCCAGAAAATAAATATAATAATTGGAAACAGCGAGACAAGCTATGCAATTTCTGCCATATGGATGGTGTTACAGGCTAAATTACACCACGAATTTTTACCTTTGTAATGGCAGTTGGGGCCACCAAGTCTCAGCCAACACTACAACACAATACACACAGTATAGAAATATAAAGAAGGCACACACAGTTTACAGGGACAAGCCCCAACCTTTGCTCATATTAAATATATTACAAAGGAATATGAGTTCGTACAAGGAATCAAGGCTCACACCCTCCCCTCTGTTCCCTCTACAAAGCCCACCTTAGCATTATATAGGCCACTCTCAAAACCGTCCATAACTGCCCACTAAGATGATGGATGACACCCCCATCCACCTAGGGTTGTGCTGGCACCCTCTAAATGTGCCAGCACTATAATGCAGTTGACAAGCCCAACTGCTAAACTTATTGGCATGTTCTGCTCATGCTACATAACCACAAGAAGTTACATTTTGCATAGTGGAAGAAACCACCCTTAACCGCCTGTGTGTTGGTCCTCTTAGAATTGTGCCACATGCTTGGGAGGTTACTTAGCACTCCCCCACTTCCCATGATGAGTGGGAAGTGCTAGTAACTTCCCCCAACCGACCGAGCCCACTAAGCCACCACCTCTTGTAACCGCAAGCCATGACTTTGTGTTGTCCATGCTCTAGCCACATCTGAGTCAACCTTGTGAACCTAGTCCAAGCCAAGTCCACCAATCTGCACCTACATATATATGTCTCTGAGTGCACGGCGTGCCAAGCCATGCACGCCCGTGTGCACGCTAGGGTGCACACCAAAGTGCACGCCGGTGCACACACTAGTGCCCTTCTACGCGCGCCATGTTTGAACCCTCATGCGCCCGTGGCTGTACGCCCGCCTGGACGCCCGTGCGCACGCCGAGCTAGACGCTCGCGCACACTAGGTTGGATGCCTGCCCGCGCACCCACCTGCACGCCCGTACGCGCGCCGCTGCACACCAGCGCTCGTGTGGGTGCCCACTTGTTTGCCCTTCAATATCTTGGATGCTCCCCACTTGTGCAACCATCTTGGAGTGGTGCAACACGTGCCCATGCACGTTGGCTAAGCCCCAACATAGTAGAATGGAACCTCTCCGGAAGCTATCTCTGCGACCTTGTCGACACACTGCTGATCGGTGAGTTGTGCTTGTAAAACCTTGCGAATGATGGAAGGTGTAACCACCATGCAAGCCATAAAAGCATCCGATAACTCATCCACACTCTTTAAAGCATTCCACTTAGTAGTGAATAGAGCAGAAAGACTACCAACAGGTCGGCGACTGAGTGCATCCGCCACTACATTCGCTTTCCCTGGATGGTACTGTATAGAAAAATGATAGTCTTTTACAAACTCCAACCACCTGCGCTGTCTCATATTTAGCTCCCGCTGAGTGAACAAGTACTGCAGACTCTTGTGATCACTGAATAATCTGAAGGACTCACCCAACAGATAATGCCTCCAAATACGCAAGGCAAAGACTACTGCTGCCAACTCCAAATCATGTGTTGGATAATTAAGCTCATGAGGCTTAAGTTTTCGAGATCCATAAGAAAACAGTCACTCCTCCTGCATCTATACACATCCAAGACCCTGTAACGAAGCATCCGTGTAAACAAGATACTCTATCCCGCTCTGCGGAGTAGCCAAAACCGGTGCAGAAGTCAGCTTCCTTTTCAGCTCATCAAAAGCTTGCTGACAGTGTTCATCCCACACGAACTGTACACCCTTCCTGGTCAGATGAGTGAGTGGTCCTGCTATCTTGGAGAACCCCTGGATAAATCTCCTGTAATATCCTGCCAGACCGAGAAAACTCCGAATCTCAGTAGGTGATGTAGGCTGTCCCCACTCAACCACCGCTGAAACCTTGGCCGGATCCACTGCTATCCCCTTTTCTGACACCACGTGACCCAGAAATTTCACCTCCCGCTGCCAAAATTCCCACTTCTCGAACTTGGCATATAACTGGTGCTCACGAAGCGTCTGCGAGATTATGCGAAGATGTCTAACATGATCGTCCTCCGACCGAGAATAGATCAAGATGTCATCAATAAAGATAATAACAAACTGATCCAAATAAGCCCGGAAGACTCTATTCATTAAGTCCATGAATACTGCAGGTGCATTAGTCGTCCCAAACGGCATAACTCGAAACTCATAAGAATCATATCGCGTGAGAAATGCTGTCTTAGGAACATCCTGCTCCCTGACCCTCAGCTGATGATACCCAGAACGCAGATCAATCTTGGAGAAATATGTGGCTCCCCTTAACTGATCAAACAAGTCATCAATCCTGGGCAAAGGATACTTGTTACGAATCGTAACCTTGTTCAACTCCCTGTAATCTATACACAGACGAAGCGAACCATCCTTCTTCTTTACAAACAGAACCGGTGCTCCCCAAGGTGATGTACTCCTACGAATAAAACCCTGGCTGAGTAACTGCTGAATCTGATCCCTCAGCTCTCTCATCTCTACCGGTGCTATCCTATAGGGTGCCCTAGCAATAGGCGCAGTGCCTGGAGCTAAGTCTATCACAAAATCGATCTCGCGACTAGGTGGCAACCCTGGAATCTCCTGAAATACATTCGGGAAATCCTGTACAATCGGTATGTTATCCAATGACACAGTAATCCGCTCCTCATTTTCCTCCTCCACGTGGAACAAATAGGTGCTACCGCCCCCTTTAGAACGTGGCATAGCTACTACATACATATCCTGACCAGGTATGGTAAAAATAATAGATCTATCAAAACAAATAACTTGGGAATGGTAGTGAGACAACCAATCCATCCCAAGTATCATATCATAAGTGTGCATGTCCAGGATCAATAGATTGGCTAGAAATCTGAGTCTGCCAATATCTAGTGTCACAGGCCCATCACTCTCATGTATAATAGCTGCATCACCCAATGGTGTAGAAATACCCTGAGGTCTAGTGCATACCCTCGTCCTCATCCCAGACAAAGCAACAAAAGTCCTAGCTACAAATGAGTGTGTAGCAACCGTATCAAATAAAACACGTCCATGCAAACCATAAATAAGAAACTTACCCTCAATAGTCTGAGGTGCCTGAACATCCTGTGGCATGGGGTTATACACCCTATCATAGTGCAACTGCTGTGGTGCCTGTCCCTGAGTCTGCGGCGGTGCCGGTAAAGCCAGATGTGTCTGTCCCTGAATCCGTGGAACCTGTGGAGCTGGTAGAGGCATTGGCGCCCTCTGTCCCTGCTGCACATACTGTCTCTGTCCCTGTCCTTGTCCTGCTTTAGGACACTGCCTGGTGGTATGACCATACTCTCCACAAGTGTAACAACTACCCTGGAAAGTACCAAATGGCCTCCTCTGTCGGTTAGCCTGTGGCTGACCCTGTCCTGCCTGTGGTCCCCCATTCTGTTGCCTCTGAATAGGTGCCCCATTCCGGTGAGCATCTGAACCACCTTTGTGCTTCTTCCAAGGCTGTTGTCCTTGGAACTTGCCTTTGTCATTCTGCCGGTGACCATTGCCATTCCCCTTTTCAGCTGACTGATTAGTAGAGTCTTTATCTCCCCGCTTCTCACCACGAGCTTGTCTGATGTCCACAGTCAACTGATACTGTTGTAGAGCGGCGTCTACCACCTGAGCATAGGTAGTATAGGCTGGACTACCTGTAATAGCTCTCTTGATAGACCACATCAGTCCCTTGACAAAACTGTTGCGCTTCTTCTCCTCTGTATCCACCTCCTCCGGTGCAAAGAGAGACAAGCGTGTGAATTGCTGTTCATACTCCGCCACTGTCATGTTTCCCTGCTGCAGACTTAGAAACTCGGTCTTCATAGCTGTCCTGACTGCATAGGGAAAATATTTCTCATCAAAGCGAGCACTGAACTCATCATAAGACAATGTCATCCTCTCCTCTGAGGTGGTAACTGACTCCCACCACTGTAGTGCATCCCCAACTAGCTTGAAAGTAGCAAGCATCTGCTTCTGAACCTCCGTGCACTGAACCAAACGAAGATGACGCTTAATGTCCTGTTTCCACTGGTGAGCTGCTCTCGCATCGGTTGAGCCTGAGAACACAGGTGGATTACCCTTTGTGAAAGAGCTCCTAACCTTTCCCCAAGAATCCGTCTGAACCACTGGTGCTGGTACAGGTGCCGGCTGTACCTGAGGCTGATTCCGAAGTGCAGCTGTTACCCCAGCCTCTATAGCCCGAGCAACGAGGTCATTGAGGTGAGGAGGAATCTCTGGATCTCTGACCTGGTCCAGAGTCTGTTGAACATTCTC